CTGGCTGAACAGGATGTTGCCAGAGAATACATGGGTTGTCCAGTAGCAGCCAGCTGGCCTGTAACACTCCATAGTGCTGTGTCCCAAACTCAGTTATCATAGGGAGGGAATTTTATAGCTTGTCACAAGCAGTGACATCATTGGCTTGCTTTGTTTTGTTGTACGACCAGAGTTCCAGAAAACAGCTGACTTCGCGTACGGGCAAAACAGAAGTCTCCATATATACTACTAGTTTGCCCAGTTCCTAAATTCCCTCAAATAATATTTATCATGATATTCCAATCCTTGTCTACTGACAATATCCCACTAACTTGGCAAGAGTCTTAGGATCACAAAAGGGGCATTTCAGGGACATGGTTTTTCTCAGGGTCAATACAATGACAAAAAATGCCAGTTCACAGACTGAGTCTGTCAGAACAGTAGCACGGGGTGCCACTCACAAAGAAGATGTGACCTTTCATTATTATAGGCAAACAATGATTTCAAAATATATTTTTAAAAATTTGTAAAGCTCAGTAAGTCACTTTACATATCAAATTCAGTATTCTTATAAGAGGACGGTAGCATACATTATAAGTTTTGTTCAGTTTACAACTGTGAATACTGGTATAAATTTTCTAAGTCCAATTATGTTATGGATTGTACAGAGAGCAAAGCTAGGATGAGAATCTAAGTCCTTCTTACATACCTACATTTTGTTTTTACCAAGAAATGAGAATATCTACTAATAACTTAAAAACTGTAATATTCTATTTTATCTGAAGGAATTTGGTTAACAAGCAACCCAAGTTATGAAAGTCATTTTCTTTACTAATAATGAGAAAAAAAAGGGGGACTCTAGATCTTACATGAGAATAATAGCCCTTCTAGAAAAATGGAGTAGAGGAAACAGGAGGAAAAGATATGATTTTTAAAGTACTAGAAGAAAAAAAACTGCCTGAAGTGAAGAAGAAAGCTTAAATCTGCAGACTGAAAAAGTTCACCCAGTCCTAAGAAAAATGAGTGAAAATTCACGAAGAAACAGAAGAATATGCTGGTAGAATCCATGAATCTTAGTATTTAAATGAATAGCTTTCAGGATTGCGAAATTCTAGAGTAGTAGTAGTTGTTGTTGTTGCTGCTGCTGCTGCTGGTGGTGGTGGTGGCGGCGGCGGCGGCGGTGGTGGTGGTGGTGGTGGTGGTGTTTTGAAGCTCCTTGTAAAAGAGTGGGTTTCACACTAGCCTAGAACTCTTCACTCAAAACCCTAAAACCCAGCAGACAGTGGGTGGAAACCCACAGATCACTGAGAGAAAAGGCTGCAGCCCAAGAATCTAAGTCCCAGAAAAGACAGCAGGCACCCATTAGGGCAAAAGAAAGACAGCTTTACCTAGGCTGGGACTCAAGGAGTTAAGGAGACCTAGAGGAAAGAATGGCTGCTGGTTCACAACAGAGGCATAAGACAACTGCACATGTCCAGAATGATGCTGTCACCAACAGATGTGACATGATGTACATGTGAAAAAAGGATTTTTGAAATAGAAATGTTGTGAGAAGAAATCTAGCCATGGTCTGCTGCTGTAATTTCTAAATTTTTTTTTTTTTTTTGGCACTGGGGATCGAACTCAGGACCTTGCACTTGCGAGGTCGTAACTTTTAAATTAAACAAAACCAATGTATGGGGTAGGGCTACACTATTAGGGACAGGGTGAAAGTAGCAAGGGAAGGATATCATCAAGTTCTGATATCAGTGCAGGGGATAATAGTTAGGCATACATAGACATTCAGCTAAGATCCCCTGAACATGATAATCACTTAGTAAATTAAGACATGTAGCCCACCTTTCAAATGCATCAAAGGCAAAGAGAGGAGTTTGAACAAACTTCATTGTACCAACAAAAATAAGAGAGAAAAAGATTTCACAACACAGGAAAATAAGTAAAAAATAAGCACAATACTGGAGGAATAAAAGCAAGTACAGTCTTCTTACATGGAATGAGAATGACTTGCATTCATCTATAAAAAGAAAAGACTGGCAATTTGGATTTTCTCTCAAAATTCTACATGAATTTTACTACTAAAAGGGCTGCTTCCAAAAGAAAACATTTCTGCAGAGTTCTGGGGGACTGGGAGGGGCTGAAAAGTCAGTTCATCTCCATAGCTTCTCTCTGAGTTCTTGGGAGGAGGATCGCATGGAGTGGAGGAATTCAGGGATTACAGTGTACAGCTTCAGATTGTACACTTCAGCTTCCTGACAGAACACACCCTGAGACAAATAGTTCTCTTAGCCACGACCCACCCCCCCAATCAGGCATTCGCACAGGCTGCATCCCCATATTCAGAGTGGTCTTTCTAAACCAGAATTCAACAGGTCACCTGTGTAGTCCCCACTATCCATAAATCCTAGAAAAAAGGTGTTCTAAATGCAGTTTACATTATGTTTTCATTTCAATTTTACATGGAGACCCATCAAATATTGGGACTTTCCAAGATTTACAACCTTCTTAGTTAACTTACTAATTAACAAAATTGATCAAAAATTCTCTCCCTTGAGATTTGTGCTGTATCTCTGCTACTTCAACAAAGTGTGGAATGAATGTAAGTGTTGGAGTCAGATGTATCGGGACTCTGATCTTGGTCTTGACATTAATTATTGTATAACAAACCACTTAGCCTTTCCTGGCTGACATTCTTTCTTCAAGCATTGAGTGAAGGTGAGACTGCCTTTGCCTTTGGGCAGTGAGAAAGTCTACAGAATTGAGAGGATTGAAACTTTACTTGATCACTTCTTAGCCTTTTAGCTAAGATCAAGTGTGAAACTTTACTTGAATTTGGCTCTTTGTTTTTGCTTTTAAAATGGTAGTTGTTAGAGGCATGCATCATGGTGGGATTTTAAATATGACAATCATTAGTGTATTTATGATCACCATGTAGGCACCTATGCCTCAGTTTTGCCACCAGTCAGATTGGAAAATGGCCTGCCACGTAGCATGGTTTTCTGTGTGATAAGAGTAAATGCTGGGTTTATTCATTTGGAACCTAAAATGAATATTATTTCAGAAGTACAATCTATTCATCAGCTTAGTCGGGCAAATTGTAATGATCCCACCTAAGGCTGGATCTATCCTTCCACAGAGATAACACCAATGCTAATTCATATCTCTTAGTATCTCTCACACCACAATAGTAGAATTCCCAGCCCAAGTGCCAGGGCTATGACCATCATCATAATGGCATAAATGAGTTTGACATGTTGCAATGATTTATACAAATGTTCTTAAAGGAAAACCCAAAGTTTTTAAATAATAAAAAATAATTTTATTAGTTTTGAAATGTTATGGTACATAAGTGACCATCTACTATTTTATAAATTTATAACTTCAAATAAAATAATGTACAGTGAAGAATTACATGGCCCTATAGTCTGAAGAATCAGGCCGATTTTCCCCCTCCAGCCTCATGTTGCATCATCCCCACCCTCTTCCCATTCTGAGTTCAGATACATCTCCCTTCTTCCAGCTCTCTAATCTCACCTTCCTCCCTCCTGACAGAAGTATTGCTTCCTCCACACCATACAATGCTCTTCCCCACCTTCACGCTATTCTTCCATTGATTCCTACTTGTCCTTTAAATCTCAATTCAAGTACCACTTCTTCAGAAAAGACTTCAATAACCTTGCTCCCCATCCCCATCACACACCCATCCAATCTAGTCATACTCCTTGTCACGTTCTCTCTAGAGCTGAGTTTTGCCTGTAATTATCCTTAATTCATGGGATTGCTTAAGTAATTTCTCTCCCTAGTACTCACTTTGTTTCAAGAGAACAAGAAGTGATCTTGTTGAGCCCATCATTGTACACCTGGCACCTGGCACAATGGCAAGTGCTCAGGGCTACGTGATGAACAGATGAATGAATTAGTAGATGAGTGAATGAATTAATTTCAGTTCTAGGGATATTCATATGTTGCTTATGCTGTGAAAGACGTTCATGAGGTTGTAGAAAACGCATAAACAAGCAATTAGCCCAAAACTCCTCTTGGGCTTTGTTACAAGCAGACCCTAATTCCTCATTCCTCATTCCTCTTAAGAGCATTTACCGCAGCACAAGATCAAATGTTGGATCAATCCAGTTTGGGTTTTGAAATTTTTTTGGAGAGAAAAGTAATGTCTGTTTCTTTGAACCACTGAAAATGTATTTCTAGATGAGATCATGTCCACTAAAAGCTCTGCCCTCCCATTTTCTGTTAATAGAGCACCCCTATTTAATATAATTTCACTTTTCTTTTTCCAACTTCACTAACAGGGCCCAGAGTTAGAAAAGTAACACAAAGTGTGTGGAGTAAAAAGCAATAGAAGCATGTATATTAACTTATATTGTAGATAGCATTATTCAAAATGTTCATGTAGAATCTGATGTATATCATCCAAGAGAAAATAATCAAAGACTTTTGAATGACTATTTTAATGTCTGGAGGGGCTGCAGACAATTTTTAATCATCCATTCCTCCTGGCCTCTCAGGAGAGCCTGATACATAGTCAATAAAAAGTCTATGGCAACTTAAGGATCTCAGAAAATGGACTATCTAGATAAGATTAAAATCAAAATCCTTTTTGAAGCCCTTCCTTTTTATTTTCTATCAGAGAAGAATTCCTAGCCCAAGTGCTAGGGCTATTTAATTTTCATTCTGTTGACACAAGTCATTTTGCCTTTTATCTTTCTCCCAGAACAGTAAGCTACTCTTCTACTTTACCTACTGGTAATTCCAAGCAGGTAATTTAAAAATTAATGGTCTATTGAAACATATCTTTTCATCTTAAAACACAGTATCAAAGGCAACAATGCAAACTCAATTCTATCAAAACAGATGACACTCTACTTTTAGCCATGTGCTTGGGCTATACTAAAAGTGTTCCTCAACAAACAAAACCACTTCCTATCTGGTACCTGATTTTTCTACTTTTGATTTTTCTTAATGCTTACTTGAGATATAACTTAATAAGAAATATTCAGTAGACCACTCACCTGCTAGGACTTCAAATTGGAAGCAGAAGGCAAAGAAATACCAGAGACTTGACTTCATGTCTGCCAGAAGCAACTTCAGTCCTCTCCTTCAGTATTCAAACTGACAGTGAGTTCATATTCTCAGATGTTTTTTATTTGCTGAAAAGGATGTGGCTTCTGTGGGAGTTGGTAAGTGTCACACTTACCATCAAGCCAAGGAGGAGTCTCTTCGTTTATCTCAATGGCTAGATGGGGAAAATATTGATTATGGGAGTAAAACATTTAATCTATGGATTATTGACGATTGTGAAGACAGAGGAAAACTTTACCCTTATTCTATTTCCAAGAAAACAAATTTAAAAAGACAAAGCCTATTGTTTTCAGAGCCACTTCACTCGGAAGCATCTCCCAGGATCAATAGTTATTGGTGATATCAAGATCTGCAAATGCCCATATGATGAATAAGATGTATATTTTGACACATTTTTATCTTGGGCTATTTGCTCCAGAGATGAGAAAGCCTTTGAAATGTGACAAAAACTAAATGAAATTATTGCAGAAATTGCTAGAAAGATATCTGAAAGAGGAGCATCACAAGAATTTAAGAAATATTTATATAGCATTCTCTGTAGATTGCAATTTTCCCAATGAGGTGATCAGGTTTAGCTTATTTAAATCCTGCTGTGCCTCTTACAGCAATGCATTCTCTGTAGATTGCAATTTTCCCAATGAGGTGATCAGGTTGAGCTTATTTAAATCCTGCTCTGCCTCTTACAACAATCTATACAATCTGTAGGAACTGGGGTGCTGTGCCTGTAGGGTCAGATGAAAGCTAGGAAGTTGAGATGCCTGTGATTTTCCCTCTATCCCTGTAGGGAGATTAGCAAAAAATAACAACAACGAAAAGAACATAACTATATTTATATGGACTTAAATGTGTCCTATGAAATACATCTTAATGCAAAAACATATATAAAATTAAATGCAAAATAATACAAGTTTGTAATTTAATATGTATAAAATATACTATGAATATAGTTAATATTATATTTATATTATGTTTTATATGTACGTAAATGATTACTATTTGTACATTTATATTCTATGTCTATATTAAAATACCTGACCTGGCCTGAATCATATAGTTAGTATCAGTGCTTGGATTTGGAGATTGTGGCTCCAGAGCCCTCACTCTTGACCAAATGGAGCCATTCATGCCAAGGCTGCCAGTCCTGCCACCCAGAGGTCTGAGCTGGTTTCCAGGATGCTGAGTCCAGGCTGAGGTCTGGAGAGTCTGACTTTCAGGCCGCAGAGACCACATCCAGGGGAGAAGCTGCCATCAAAGGGCCAAGCAACCAAGGTATGAATCCACAGTGTCCAGGCTCAGAAGCAGGTCCAGGGCTATAGCATCATAATTAGGAATTCTGGAGGGTTTGAAAGGCAGAAGGAGGCTTTTCCTGTGATTTCCAAGCTGCTGAGGCTTCCCCAAGTGTTTTGCAAGGCTCTTGCAGCTCAGCATTGGGTTGGAAGAAACTCATGAGAAGCTGAGCTAGCCTGAGCATAGACTGTGCCACCAGGACTCCTGGGAACTAGCTACTGACATCCTCCCTTTCCTTCCCTCCCTTTTCCTTTCCTTTCCTCACCCGCATTGCGCTTGAGTCCTTTGCCAGCAAATGGACAGGAAGTGGACAGAAATTTAGTTCAGTGCACTGAAATTTTCTAACCCACTTGACGCTGAGCTCTGAAGCTGAGTATGAGGAACTTTCACTTCATGAGAACCACACTGCCCCAAATTGTAGAGCTTCACTGCTGTTTCACAGGGGAAGATACAGGAGCATTCATATGCTCCATGAACATTCACTGAGCATATTCACCGTGTTTCATTCAGTTCTCACAATACTTGTACCAGGGCTATCTCATTATTACTCCCATGTCACAGATGAGAAAAATGACAGAAAGATGAAGTAATCAGCCCAGGGTCACGTAGCCAATAAGGGATGGAGTGGGTTAAACCCATACCATGAAGCTTTGAACCCCTCTTCATCACCATACTACACTCGGGCCCTTGTTTATCTGACCATACATTATTCCTAACATCGCTTTTTTGATCTCATAACTTCATGGAGGAAGGGTACTTAGGTCCTAAAGGAAGTTCCTAATTATTTGGATTAAAAAAATTTTCTAATAAGATTTAGGTGCAACAGTCCTACCTCAAGGGGAGAAAAGGTGCAGAAGTCATGGTTGAATTCAGCTTTAGTTCAGCTAGATATGTGAGCTTCTGTGTGATAGGAATCTGTTTGCCTTTTCCCAATCATCGTGCTTCTTGGTTTATAGGATATTTGGTGATAAGGGCAGAAGAGGACTCACTTCTATGTAAATGGTGTTTTATGTCAAAGTCCCCTTAAGGTGTTCCTTTCCAAGATCTAAACTTCTCAAAAACCTCAGTTAAGAATACAATTAGTCGTGGTTTTACATATTCAGAATTGCTTTTCTTATGCCTGGAAAATAAACTGGGCAAAAATTTCCATTCACTTTACAGGAAGTGCTCTTTGTTTGCTTTTACTTTATTTTATCTTTTTTTTCATTCCATGACTTAAGAAGGTTTTGATTTGTGTGTGCAGCTGCCTGGGCTCAGGGTGGGGAATGGAAAGTTTGTTACATTAAAGGTAGAGTGTTTATTATTTCTTGCCTTGTGGGGCACCAGAGTTTCTAAGGCAGCATGCTCGCTGTTCTCCTGTCCCGCAGGTGAACAACTTCCTTGTGCCTTAATATCTATTGCAAGCAGCGTTTGCATGAGTGCAGGAACTGACACATCAGAGCCATTAAGCCCAAACACTGGGGCTTAAAAGCCCCCCAAAAGTGTCAGTGCTTCCTTTAACCATGTTTTGCCATTCTGAAACAGGAAAACACAGGAAAAGTAGTTTCCTTACTAATCAGAACGGTTTTAGTCAGAAGTGGTGATACAAGCCTATAATCCCAGCACTCTTGAGAGCCTGAGGTGGAAGAATCACAAATTAAAGCCCAGCCTGGGCAATTTAGAGACTGAGACCCTGTCTCAAAATTTACAAAAGAAAAAGGGATAGATAGGGGTGTGGCTCACCGTCAGGCCCTGGGTTCAATCCTCAATACCAAAAAGAAGAAGTTTCTACTCCTACCTTGTCTAATGTGGAGCAGCACCACCACCTACCCCTCTCTCTTCTACTTATTCACAACGGGCCCTAATTAGTCTACTTCCTAGCTCTTTCCTACGTATTTTTTCTTTCTTTCTTGTGAGAGTCATCACCTTTGATCAGTTTCCAGCCTCTCTCTCCTGGTTTTCCTGTTTCCATCTGTCTGCACATTACAATTTGAGTAATCTTGGTAAATATAAGTCTAAGCCACCGGCACTCCCCTGCTGTGCACCATCAATTGACTTTCTGTGGGTCTTAAATGAGGATCAAACTTCTTACAAGATCCTTTGCAAAGGGCAGCTCTTAATCCAATTCAGCCTCATCTCTTGCTGCATTTATTCTGTCTTCTTCCTGCACCAAACTCTTTAATAATACTGAATGACATGGAATTCTCCAACCTCCTCAAGCTATTTCTTTGTCCTGTTGCCAGAGCCTTCTACTTGTCCCTACTTTTGCCCCTCACTCCCTTGGCCTCCAATCTGCTGCAGAAATCCCACTGTTCTTCAGGCCTTTGCTTACGCACCCATCAGTTTAGTTCATTGAAGAGGAAGACTTGCCCAACCCATTTCATTCACCACTGACCACTCCTATGACTAGTGTCCATTTGATGACTGCATCCTCCCAATATCCCTCTGTGTCTTCTGTCCTAGGACTCATAATATAACCATAATGGTCTGTTTTCTTTTCTCCACTTAAATAGAAAAAACTCAGAGAGAGAATCTCCAAGGAATAAGGATATTTACTATCATTGCAAAGCATTGCCATAGTAAACTCTGAACATATTCAAAGAAGTTGTTGGCAAAGGAAAATTTTTAAGGACAAAAATGAACAAGATCACATTAGGTGTTTTGAAACCCCAATCCTTGGCCACAATGACAAATGACAAATGTGGCAACCATTTGAGGTTGAGCAGACAGTTGTTGGGCAGATAGGCTAGTAGAAGTAGTTGTGTACACAGTTGTGGTGGCCTCTGTGTAAGACTATGGTTCTAGCAAATTCTCTTGTGATAGTCACTATAAGGCAAACATATAAGAATTCTTCCTTGCCAGGCCTGTAATCCCAGGAGCCTGAGGCAGGAGGATCACCGCAAGTTCGAGGCCAGCCTGGGCTACATAGTGAGCTCAAGTCCACGAACATACATAGCGAGATCCTGTCTCAAAAACATCCTGCCTTTATCAATTTTATTTACTTTGTTGGGTGGAGTTGGTACAAATGACTCTATTTGCATTCTGACAACTTTCACATTCCTTTCACACTCTTGCAGCCCCTCTTGGACTGTGAGGAGTGTCATAACAAGGATTGCAAGGCTTTCTTTGCAGCCGTTTCTGCAATGCCTAACATAGTGCCGGGGACATAATGAATACCCCATAACTGTCCATTGAATGAATGAGTGTTTGAAGAATCCCTGACTGCTGAAGGAACGATACACCCTCGGGAATGCTCACCAATGACCATTTTGCTTTTAAAATCATAAAATGAATGCAGAAAATTATGAGGGTGTGTTTGTATTTCACACTGCAATTAATTCAATGAATATAATAATTTATCCTCTCAACTCATCTACCATCTCATCATTTGCCCATCCTTAATCATCAAACAAAAGACCATTCAATTTTAAGAGCCAAATATTGTTTCATTTATTAAAAAGTTAAGTTTTCAGAAAGTTATTAAGTAATCCATAAAGCTCAGAAAAACAATTATACTTTTCCACTGTATGTTTGATGTTGTACTTACTTGATCTTGAAATGGTACCACCTATTCTGATTGAGTTATTGGATCTAAGAGCTCCCTTCTGCTCATTCTAGGTGACTTTGCATGCTTCTTCTCAGGCCTACTACTCTGTAGCAAATTGAAAGTCTAACTCTCTGAAGAAAACCTTTGTCTTCCTAATTGAAACACTTCAATGAAGCCCCTGTTTGGTCCCTGAGTATGGTCACAATTATCACTTTCCCTTTTTCTTTTCCATCTCTTACAACCATCTCTTCACCTGGTCTCCTTTGTTGGTTCTAATGCCTCTCTGTTCCTGATTATCAACATTGATGTTCCCAGAATTTGAGCTTCAGTTCTGTGCTTTC